ATTAACAACAATTTGAGGTTTTGCTTTTGAATTCTAAAATTTGCAAGAAGAAAGGGGCCAACAAAAGTGGGTGGCTCTACTACCTAAACCTCCATATGGGAGGGTTGAGAAGAATGTATCAGATCCGAGGTCTTATTACAACCTATGAAAGGTAGTAGCAAGGTCTGACTGCATTGATGCCACACCCTATCACTAGGTTATTAAGGGGATCTTACCGCAAGCACTACCAATATAGTTAGCCTCTAAAAAACCCATGTGCTCAAGGTTTCCATAGAAATGTGAATTTCACCCATCTATGTATGAGGAACTACATGAAAGAAAACATTTTATGCTCATCCTACCTTTTTTGGAACAAGTTAAAATACAATTTGCCATTACAGAGTAATACCATTTTAAAAATGTGTTCCTTAAATTTATTACATAAAAAATACTGCTGAGAGAGAATTAGGATAGGTGTGTGGTGAAAGCACAGTAGTAAGAATGATATGAACTGGAGTCTATTCTTGGCTCTGAAACATATGTCATGGATGACCGGGAACATGCTTTGTAATGTCTCAAGGCCTCAATTTTCCCCATCTGTAAGACAAGGATAAAAAATAATAGTTTTCTACTTTATGTGATGGGATGGTGTGAAGCTTTATTCTTCAATGCTTATTAAGTATGTTGAGCTTCTTACATGGAAGATGCTATGAAAGTGTACTTTCACTACAAACAACATTCTCCGATGAACATACAATTTAGGTTGGGCATAGCTGCATGAAATGAGAGCAAATGTTACCAAGTGATTATGAACATCATGTCATTTTGATATGCTAAAAATACCCCTCCTCACTCTACCCTCTGCTAACCTCAAGTCTACAAAAATTCCAACCTTTGATGGAGCAAAGATTGGAAGTTCTGACCAGAAGTACAAGCAACATTTCGTCATTTAATATGCTCTATGAATAGTATACGGCATAAGCCGCTCATAAATTATTAATAACCAGTCCCCAAATCTCAACATGGCAGGAGCTTGTCAGTTGTTAGACAGTTTTTGTATGGGTTGCATATTTCCACTGTATTTTACTGAAATGGGAGTAGAGGCAACCAAGTGAATCTGTCAGCAAAATTTCCTAACAGCTAAACAACTTCAGTCAACACTTCTTATCCCTGAATTGCATTCAGTTTTTCTGTCTCTTACACTTAACGATTAAAAAAAAAGCCCTGCTCGGTTGCTTTATGCACAACATATCCAGTGATTCCATAATTTTTAAAGGATGATCAGACAAGCTTGAAAATCATGCAGCACATGATTTTGAGCATGCTAATAAGCAGAGCTTGTTACTTAGTATATGATCTGTGGTAAAAGAACCAAATATAAGGTAGAGAAAATATAATTTTATTTGACTATTTTAAACACATTCCAAAAAAATAATGCAACTGACACCTATTTGTCTTTACAAAGACACTGCTTTCAAACATTTTATAAGGAAAGCCCAAGAATATATTTAATTCCAGAGAAAAACCATTCAGTCCCCTGAGAAATCCTTTTTGTTCAAAACTAATCTATTTATGCTTTGTTCACAAAAGTAAAATACTTTGTCATATTCTCTGTAGAAATCCTTTCACCTATCTTAAAAAATGTATGTGGTGCAGACCTACTTGATTTCTCTCACATGTGCAAAAATTTACTTTGTCAAATTATATTCTTCAAAAAGCCTTTCAGCTGACTTAAAAATCCATTTTGTGCAAAACAATGACCGTGCATCAGCTCAGAGTGATTGCACAGTAGTTACTTAGCCTGGCAAATGGCAGCAAAATGTCAGCTGAAATGAAAGAGACACAGCCCTGGGCTTATCAGGAAAAGTGCAGATGATTCATGTAACATCATAAATAAATAACACAGACTTTGTGTTAAGGCAGGTTTTACAGTAGAGGTTCTCTTACCACCACCAGTTCATTTCAAAGAACCCGTAATAGGAGCTTTATGTGGTGACAGTGACATGCAACAAGATAAGCTATTCTGTCTTTAACACTCATATTTCAAGGTCACCCAGTGATACATTTCTAAGGGAACAAGAAGAAAACTTAATCAGATAGGGCACACATTACTGGATCATCACAATATTGATAGTTAAAAAGAGAATAAAAAAGATGGTGTGACACATGGGAAGACTGACAATCATGCAGTGCTGGTCAGTGATCATGCAGGGAAGGAAGGACAGAGGCGTAATGTTGTATGTTTTTCTTCTAGTTTGTCTATTTAGATTAATGTGAGGCCTCTGGATGAGCTGTCAGCAGTGGGGGTTGAATTCAGGATTTAGGGATCTAAAAGCATAATCCTCTGTTTCCTGAGCTAAAAGACCAGGTCTGTGATGTCAATCGGTATAGCAGGCTCATAAACCTCTTTGTGATAGCCACACCATGTAAACATGGGTTATCTTATCAAAAGAATTAAGGATATTTAATAGTACCATGGGTTGCTGTCCAAGGCAGTTTATAGTTTGGTTTCTATGTTCTGTACTTACATGTAAAAGACTCAAAGCTGGTAACAAGCTGGAGTCCCAACAGTGTCTGAGCTTTCCAGGAATGGATAACCAACAATGGTTGGTTGTCAGGTGGAATTGGCCATTACATTCTTTATTATTCACTCACAGACAATGGTATTTGGAAGAGATATTGAAGAAATATATGAAGAAACAAAGGTATACCTTTGCCACCAATGCTCATGAGAAGTACTGAAAGACATACACTTGGAGTACATCTACACAGCACAGCTTAAAGTCAAATTATGCTACACAATTTCAGCTACGTCAATTTCATAGCTTAAGTTGAAATAGCTTAATTCGGCTTTTGGCACTGTCTACACAGCAGGAAGTTGAAGGAAGAACACTCTTCGTTCGACTTCCCTTACTCCTCTTAAAATGAGGGTTACCATGAGTCAGAGTTAGAAATCCTCCAGCTCAACATTATTTCAAAATAATGGCTTGTAGTGTAGATGCGCACTGTGTTATTTCAGAATAACGTCAGTTATTCCAAAATAACACTGCTATGTAGACATAGCCTTTGAGAGCCAATGGATACTGCAGATTTCCCTAAAGCAGCATGATTTAAGGAAACACACTTATGCTAAACAACTCTCTATCAATGTTCACATTGTTCAGCACACAGTATATGCTTTTCTTAACCATGGTGTGATAGCCTTAATTTTTTACACAGAAGGCTACAGAATTTAGCATATAGGCTCCAAACATCATGAAATGCTTTATTATAACATGCAGTTATAATTTGGTAGTTATAGGAAACATATTTAAAAATAACAGGATATCTAAAAGGTTACACTATGCTAATAACATACATAATAACTATAATTGGTGCTATTAAAAACAATCAACATTTACCAGTAATTAATACACAGTGGTATCTGAAATATTCCACTTATTTCTTCTTGTAAATAGGAGTAAACTATAAAGTATCTCAGATGCCACCTATTAATAGTTAATAACTATTGATCTAATAGTAGCCACTCTTTGCAAAAGGTGGATGTGGGCAAAAGCCAAGAAAAGTGGGGAATTTTAAGGGAGTAAATAGGGTTAATTAAAGATTAAGAAACAGTTTGTGTGTCTTTCTAGTATTCCTGAATGCAGCTGTTTGACTGTACACTCTACAAGCTGGAAACCTCTTAAATTAAGAGGAAGAGTTTGATCATTGGGAGATGTAGGTTTGTTTCCAGATTTTCAATTTAGTAAGCACTATCCACTAAACCACTAGTATGGAGATCTGGATTCTGGCCACGATAAAGTATCTAAACAGGCAAACTACCAGACCATCTCAAGGCAGAAATTTCTATTCATAGTTCTAAAAGTCTTCCCAAAATATCTAAGGTATTTAAGACCAGGAGATTGTAGAAATCTTAGGTTCTGATATAGTAGAGCCAGCCTTTGTTCCAAGCTGAATCCTCTTTTATATTTAAAACAGAAAAACAGATTTAACCATCTCAAATGCCTTATGAAATCCCCAGATGATTTTCTTCAAGGTTGTCTGTCACGAGTGAAACTTTTGCTCCATAATTTAGAAAGATCTTAAACTCTATTATAAGCAATCTCAGGGGTGGCCAATAAATAGCCCACTGCAGTTTGCTAGGGTTAGCCCTTGGTGGGTTGCTAGACAGACAGGAAATAAAGTATTCAGTGTCCTTCCAAAGGGCTAACTCTGACAAACCATGTCCTGCTCATGGGCCACTTACTGCCCACCCCTATATTAGAGACACAATATCTGGATGGGTGAGATAATATCTTTTATTGGATCTACTTCAATCGGTGAGAGAGATGCGAGATAATATCTTTTATTGGATCAACTTCAATCGGTGAGAGAGATAACCTTTCAAGCTTACACAGAACTCTTCTTTGGATCTGGGAAATATACTCGGACCTTGTTTACATTACCAAGTTTTGTCAACAACACAAATGCCAAAAGTGAACAAAACAAAAATAGCCAGAGGGTATTCAGACTTCCTCACTCTGTCAACAGATCATGCCCACATTAGGGCACCATCATCTATAGTATTAGCAATGTGCTGTAGGTATGTATCCCAAAGTGCAGTGTTATGGAAGGGCAGAGCTTATTGCTGGGCACCTTCAGATTCCCTCCAAGTTCTTCCAAAGCTTCCTCAGTTGCTGGGAGTGACACCAGGAGTAGCTCTATGAGCTCTCCATGCTAAGGAACATCAAAACAGCACAGCAGCCTGCCCCCCTCTCCCTGCAGCAGCAGTCTGCCTGCCACTGTGTTTCTAGTGTAGGGCAGGACAGGAGCACTCCAGTGATTTGCTCTTTGTTCCCCCAAAGGAGCAGTGCACACACACTCAACTGTCAGTCCCCAGAAGTTTGACAGGGGAAAGGCACATGCCATATAGCAGGGCAACAGCGATCAAAACACTGAATACAGCCATCAGGCTTTGTGGGATATTGGCAGAAGCCAGTTCTGTGGACAAACAAACAGCAAAGTCTACACTGGCTCTTTGGAGAGGAGGGAAGAAAAAAGTCTCTTGTAGGACTGGAAGGTTGTGTCGCTGAAACTGGGCATTTTCCCCAACAAAAGTTGCATTCCAGTTTGAATGCTCTCACTGTTTTGTCACTCACTGTTTTTGGTAACAAAAAACTTGATAATGTAGATAAGGACTGAGACAGCATAAACACAAGGAAGAACAGATTCATTAGCACAAGTAGTTGTTACATATTTCAAGAGATCATTCAAGATGAAGTGGCCCATTAACTCCTCTCCAGTTCAGGGAGACAGATCCAAAAAAGAAGCCGGGAGTGGGGGGAAGAAGGGTTATAGATTGTTGTAATAAGATATAAATCCAGTAACTCTATTCAGTTCATGTTCTTAGTATCTAGCAAAGTAATGAATTTAAGCTCCAGGCTTATCTTTTGAAAGCATTGTGCCGGTTACCTTTGAGTTTGAGGACAGAGAGGTCAGATATAAAGTGATCACTTTTTTTTCCTTCCCCACAAAGACTGATGCAGAGGAGCAGAGAGAAACAAGCCCGTGGTCTGCCTCTGCCCTTGTGAGATAGTATCTCCCATTGACTTGAGGGCCTCATACACCACAGAAAGAGAATCAGACCTGTAAAGTTGTATTGGCTTTAATGGGAGTTTACTTGTATCCTGTGGCAGTAGAATCAAGCTTGTGGAGTACAGTTGAAAGCTTGTAGATCCATCTAGCAGTCAGCAGATAATATTATTTAGCAGATCCATCTGGTCAAAAAGAATGAGAGTTTAGGGAGATGTTTTTCATGCAATTCTCTCTACTCCCCTCAATTCCACAGCACCTAAACCAATTCAATTAAGTAGAAACAAAACTGCAATTCCTCCCATTATAACTGTATCTACTTTCTTTCAAAGCAACATTTCTAAATAAAAAGAAATGCATTTTATTTTATACCAATATCTAGTGGTTTGGGTTTTTTGATGTTCTAAAATCATGTGGGTTTTTTTTCCTCATACGAAGCAAAGTAGACCTAGACTGTGTCTAAACTACATCCCTTTTTTGATAAAGGGATGTAGATTAGGCAAGTCAATATTGCAAATGAAGCTGGGATTTAAATATCATTTGCATAATTGTGGCCTAATTGTGGCATAATTCGAAAAAAACCCTGCAGTTTAGATGGGGCATTTTCAACAGAAATGCCCTATTTCAAAAGATCCTGTACTCCTATGTGTAAGAAGGGGTCAGATCATCCTCTGAGTTAAATTTTTATGGCTCTATTGATTTCATACAATGTATGTGAGAGACTTGGGGAGGGGTTCTTTTGTGTATTGTGGATTTTATTCTCCTCACAATCCATATAAAACCCCTACTCATATAAATTAGTGCCCTATATCTGCACAAGCTTTAAGTCTGGATATGGTTTCTTTCTCAACCACCTCCCCCTATTCTTGTTCTTGTATCTGGACTTCTAATACTCCAGTCATCTGAAGAAATAGGTTGCACCCACAAAAGCTCATGATACCATCTACATGTTTTGTTAGTCTTTAAGGTGCTACTAGACTATTTGTTGTTTTTTAAGTTTTTTCCCAAAATTCTGACAGTCTGCTTTTTTTGGCAGTACTCTTTGTGTTCATATCTTTTAAAGGAGATTTATACCGTCCTAACTCTATTATTATTAAATTCTTCAAACACATTTCAAGGAAAAGACCTTCAAAGCCTAAAAAGAATCAGTGTCCTAGTTCTGCAATCTACCACAGCTCAGCATCCACTGCTCTAAATATAAATACTCTAGTGCTAAAATCAAACCAGACCCTCATTTAATCTCACTGCTTTATGTTTATGCTTCAGTGCTTTAAGCTTCCTTCTCAACCTCTTTCACAATACATCTTTATAGTCTACAAGGAAAGGAGCACAACAAAGTGAAAAACATAAATAAATGAATAAAAAGCCAATTGTTTGCAGTATTATCCAAGCTAGTATGTTGCTTTCCAGCCCTACTTTCAATGGAGCAGTGGGGAGGGCTATAAGGGCTGTTTCTGTGTATCTGATGGTGAAGAAAAAGGACTTCATGAAGCACGGGGGGAGGAGGGAAGAGGAGGAGAAACAAAGTGAACATTTCATTTTCAACAGAATGAAAAGTGGCCAGAAGCTAATGTGAATGGCCACTTTACAAATAAGCCGAATGAATAAAATCTTCTCAAACGCCAAAGCAAAATAAACAGAAAAATCGTCTCTTGTAGCCAAGTGCTCCCCAAACTCATTCCAAACACTTAGCTATTGCAGTCAGCATTTCTGAAAGCCTTACACAATTTCCATCTGCTTTCCACTAGAGAAATAAGTGCAGAGGTTTGCACAAACAAAAGGATTTCAAGAATATTGATCTAAGGGACTATATGGTAATAAAAAGGAATTTACCAAAGTAAAATGTAATTGTCTTTTTCTTGACTACAAACTCTTCTGGTTCACATTTGTGTTATAATGCTATTACGTTATGTTTTCTCTAGCTGAAATATTACAGAGAGAGTGGGAAGGAAAAGATCTTGGGACTTGAACAATTTGCCTACATTTAGTTCTATTAATATCATTAGACAGGAGAATCAGTGACACTGTGGCTAAAAGCTAGAGATGAACTAACCAGCACTTTATCTTCTGTTGCCAAGGACTACATGATGAACTCTGCAGTGACCTAAATTTATTACAGAATAGTGCTCGTTGCCGCTGTACCAAGCACTCTGTTGCAATTACAGCACATTAGGCAGAGGAGCGAATCTCAAGGGGAAATGTCTAGTCTTTTAATCAAGCAGTAGAAAAGCCAGAGTGGACAAAAATTACACTGTTGTATATATCCACAGTTAATCTGTACATGCACCTCCAATAGCAGTCCTAATTTTGACCAGAAAATGCTTTTATTATATACAGGGGGTCATGATTCTATAGTTCACTCACTTAATCTTTTCTGTACTTCAGTCCATTTTTTCCTGCATTATATTCTCAGCCTTTCTGAACCTTGTTGGGAGCATGGGAAGTTAGAATAATCAGGCATAGTATTTCACCTCTAGAGTGCCATCTCTCAATTTTTTTAACGTGATGTTGGAGGATCACATAGATTTGAGGATCTGAACAACATACCTGTATTCTAAATGCATGAAAAGAGACAAAATTATCCCATTTCAGCAAACAGGTTTTAATATTTAATTGAATCTGCAAAGATTACTTTACAAGTGTACAAACATTTGATAAGTCATTGATTTGTTTTAATGGATAAGAGGAAACTGAGTGTTTCAATAACTTTATTAATGAGGCTTCAAAGGAGAAACACTCTAATTTTTGTAGCAATCTCTGAAAGTTTTTACTCTTTATTTAAAAATACTCATTTGAATTGCAGCTGAATGAACTCAAGTAACTGGGAATATATCCTGCCCACTGCTTGTAGATTGGGTGAAGGAGAATCAGATAAAGGGAGAACGGGCCTTTCCCAATGTCTTCAGAAGGGGTCACAATAGAATTCTCAAATCACTTTAATGTCAACATTAGTGCCCGATATTGAAAAGTGACAGATATTGAAAACTCCCAATGCTGGTGAGCCATCCTTAATCATGTCCACAGCTCATTGAATCACATAGCTAAGAGTTGAACACCTGAGTAAGGGTTTGCAGTTAACTCAGATTCTCTTGTTGACTTTCCTCTTTCTGTCCTTTTAATATTCTTAAATAACAAGTACAATATTACCAAATGTAAACAGAAATCACATACTTGTAACATGCAGCTTTGACAAGAATGCAGCATGGTTAAGAACGTACACCCGTCCTTGGCAATATCATTACCATAAGATTTCACTGTGAATGACTGGGTTTCTTTGGCAAATCATTGAGTAGCAGCCTAAAGAAACCCGAGTTTCACATTGACTCTCTATCTCTTTGGAATAAGAAAAGCAAGTTTGGTAGGCGACCAGATTGGCTTACCAGAGAAAACCTTGGTGATCTTAAACACAAAAAGTAAGCTTATAAGAAGTGGAAACTTGGCTAGATGGCTAGGGAGGAGTATAAATATATTGCTCGAGAATGCAGGGGAGTAATCAGGAAGGCGAAAGCACAATTGGAATTGCAGCTAGCAAAGGATGTGAAGGGTAACAAGAAAGATTTTACAGGAATGTTAGCAATAAGAGGGTGATCAGAAAGGGTGTGGGACCCTTACTGGATGAGGGAGGTAACCTAGTGACAGATGATGTGGGAAAAGCTGAATTACTCAATGTTTTTTTTTGCCTCTGTCTTCACAGACAAGGTCAGCTCCCAGACTACCGCACTAGGCAATGCAGTAAGGGAAGGAGATAGACAGCCCTCAGTGGAGAAAGAACAGGTTAAGAACTATTTAGAAAAGATAGACATACACAAACCCATGGGTCTGGATTTAATGCCTCTGAGGGTACGGGGGGAGTTGGCAAATATCATTGCAGCGCCTTTGGCCATTATCTTTGAAAACTCATGGAGATCAGGAGAGATCCAAGATGACTGGAAAAAGGCAAACATAGTGCCCATATTTAAAAAAAGAGAAGAAGGACAATCCATGGAACTACAGACCACTCAGCCTTACCTCAGTTCCTGGAAAAATCATGGAGGGGATCCTCAAGGAATCCATTTTGAAGCATTTGGAAGAGGGGAATGTGATCAGGAATAGTCAACAGGGATTCATGAAGGGCAAGTCATGCTTGACCAATCTGATTAGCTTCTTTGATGAGGTAACTGGCTCTGTGGACACTGGGAAGTCAGTGGATATGATATACCTTGACTTGAACAAAGCTATTGATACGGTCTCCCACTGTATTCTTGCCATTTATCCAAATATGGATTGGATAAATGGACTGTAAGGTGAATAGAAAGCTGGCTATATTGTCAGGCTCAACGGGTAGTGATCAATGGTTCTATGTCAGGCTGATGGTTGGTTTCAAGTAGAGTGCCCCAAGGATTGGCCAGTTTTATTCAACATCTTCATTAATGACTGGGATGAGGATATGGATTGCACCCTCAGCAAGTTTGCAAATGACAATAAGCTAGGGAGAGAGGTAGATATGTTGGAGGGCAGGGATAGGGTCCAGAGTAATCTAGACACATTAGAGGATTGGGCCAAAAGAAATCTGGTGAAGTTTAACAAGGACAAGTGCAGAGTCCTGCAGTTGGGATGGAGAATAAAAGCATTGTTACAGGCTAGGGACCAATTGGCTAGGCTGCAATTCAGCAGAAAAGGACCTGGGGATTACAATGGATGAGAAGCTGGATATAGTCAACAGTGTGCCCTTCCAGCCACAAAGGCTAATGGCATATTAGGGTGCATTAGGAGGAGCACTGCCAGCAGATCTGGGGAAGTGATTATTCCCCTTTATTCGGCACTAGTGAGGCCACATCTGGAATATTGTATACAGTTCTGGGCCCCTCAATACAGAAAGAAAGTGGACGCATTGGAGAGGGTCCAGCGGATGGCAACCAAAATGATTAGGGGGCTGGAGCACTTGACCTACGAGGAGAGGCTGAAGGATTTGGGCTTATTTAGTCTGCAGAAGAGAAGAGTGAGGGTGGAATTTGATAGCAGCCTTCAACTTCCTGAAGGGAAGTTGCAAACACGATGGAGAGAGGCTATTCTCAGTAGTAACGGATGGCAGAACAAGAAGCAATAATCTTAAATTGCAGTGGGGGAGGTCTAGGTTGGATATTAGGAAAAACTATTTCACTAGGAGGGTGGTGAAGTACTGGAATGGGTTACCTAGGGAGGTGGTGGAATCTCCATCCCTAGAGGTTTTTAAGTCTCAGCTTGACAAAGCCGTAGCTAGGATAACTTAGTTGGGGTTGGTCCTGTTTTGGGTAGGGGGATTCAATGAACTCCTGAAGTCTTTTCCAGCCCTATGATTCTATCATTCTATCTTCAGGTAAGAGTCTTTTTGACTCCTTGAAGCTTGCCAATTTGTACTAATGATGATGGGTACGTTTACACAGTATGCTTATTTCAAAATAAGCTATTTTGGATTTTTTTCCCCAAAGTAGCTTATTTCAAAATAGCACATCTACACTACAAGGAAGGTTCAAAATTAGTTCAAGGCAGGCTTCCCTAATGTGGATGTGATACCTCAGTTTAGAGCCCCAGGAGGCACTGGGGAGTAATTACTTTGAATGGCCCTAGGGAGAAGCTATTTCAAAATAGTAGCAGTGGATCGTCCACATTACCACAATTCTGAAATCACTATTTTGGAATAAGCATTATTCCTCGTGGAATGAGGTTTACAGATGGTTTCAAAATAACCAAATTGCTGTGTAGACACTCGTATTGTTATTTCACATTAACTGTGTTGTGTACAGGCACCCTAAAAGAGGTCTGTTTAGTGAATTGTGTAAATTACTGGTTACACAAACAAAATAAAATTAAGTATAATGCATTACAATGTTTCCTTGGTCCATTCATGGCAGCAATTGTAATTTAGCATCTTGTGATAACATTTCAGAATAAATGTCGGGGCTCTGTCAAGTACATTACAGTGAAATGTGGATTAGTGGATCTCCTGTGTTTTATTATGCATATATACACAAACATCTTCTGCATATTTTCCTCCTATTAAATGTGCTAAGCACAAAAGCAGATTGGCACACTACAGAAGCAATACAGTACCTGGAGGCAATGTCAAATAGATCCTTCAAAAAGGGTAGGGAAATTGTCTCTACTACAATCTTACTTTTGCGCCCTGGCTAATATGCAAACACTAAAACCATTCAGCACAGAGAAGAATTAACATATTTGAGAAATATTATAACCACTGATCTCTGTGCATTTTCACAATCCATCAGAGCGCATATTATTTACACAGGAGTTAAGCAGCAATGGATACAAGATGCAATGACTCTCTTTCCCCCAACTCATACTTCTCTTCTAAATGCAGCAAAGAGAATACAGAGTGGGGAGGAAATAAAAGAAGCAGCCAGAGGACAGTCTAGACAGTGATGTCAAAAGAAGAAAGGGGAATTTGGTGAGCTGTAGTAGCCGTAAAGACAAAAGAGTTTCTGAAGTATGAATAGGACTGAAGAGAGATAAAGCCCAGCAGCTCAAAGGGATAGAGCTTGGAAAGTGTGACTGATAAGGGACAGCCAGCAGAGATGCAAAAAGAAAGACAGAGAAAGGAAGCTTCAAGGATTACAGTAAAGTGGGAGCATCAACATGGTTTTCTCACAGTAGAAGAAATAAAAATAAAGCCCAGGAAAGAGACAGGGCTTGTCTACACTGGCACGTTTTGTTACCAAAAATTGCTTTTTGGTGACAAAACAGTGAGAGCATTTCCACTGTAATGTGACTTTTGTCAGGGAAAACACCCTGTTTTGGTGACAAAAAACTTCCAGCCCTATGAGAGACCTTTGTCTTTTCTTCTCCTTTTATTGTTGACGAAGAGCCAGTGTGGACTCTGCTATTGTTATGTTTAGAGAACTGGCTTCTGCCAGTATCCCACAATGCCTGTCCTGGTGGCTGTGCTCAATGTTTTGAGATTTCTGCTGTCCTCAGGCATGTGTTCCTCCCCTTTCAAAGTTCCAGGAAGTATCTGACAGCTGAGTGAGCTGCTCTGTTTGGGAAACAAAGAACAAATCATTGAAATGCTCCTGGTTCTGCCCTGCTAGGAAAATAGCAGCAGACAGGTTGATGCTGCAGGGGGAAGGCTGGAGAGACTGCTGGCTCTGCCTTCCCACAACACTGCATTGTGGGATGCTTACCCACATTGCTTTGTTCTTATCTGTCCTCTGCGTGCTAACAATGTGGCCATGAAATGTCAACAACAGGTGGCCATGAAATGTCAACAACAGTTTGGTGACTTTTGCATGTCAACAGCACTTTTGTTGATATATTCAAAGGAAAAGGTTAATGCTCAGTTTTACAGAGGGGACCAGTGCAATAGGATGCCCCTCACCGGGGATGCCGTCCAATGTCAGGTTGTATCATGACAGATGGGCCTCAGTTTCCACTTTTTCCCTTTCTCAGTGTTCAATACAAACTCCATCTTTGGGAACAATTTATTGATATTTGTCAGTTCAGGAATCCCCCCAAAACTTTCTAATGAAACCATTTTACAATTGCCACATTAAACATACAGATGCAACAGTTTTGACTAGTGACATCTCTTTTAAGTCACCCACCCAAAAGTCAATAGCAGCACTTTGTTTCCAGTTTCTTTGGACCCACTCTAGTGCCCCGCTCTCCAGACCTATTTGCTTGAGTGCAACCATCCTTCCCTTAGTCCTTCACTCAGGTCTTTACCCCAAGAGCTCCCCATCCTGCAGTAATCCAGTTCTCCATGCTTGGGAGTCCTACCTCTGTAAAATTCACCCTCCCACAGCAACCCTCTTACTTCTGGCTCCATTTCCCCTGCCCAAGCTGGATCCTCCATTTTTCCAAGGGGCCTTCTGCTCCTCAATGATCCCTAGTTTGATCAGTTCTCAGCAACATCTCCCTTCATGTTCCTCACTGGGTGCCCACAACTAATTCTCTTCTTCAGCCCTTCCCCTCAAGCAACTCTTATCTTCTTCTTTTTGAATCACCAAATCCCTGATTCATCCTCTCTTGAACCAAACTGTTGGTCAACTGACAAGTCACAGGGTCACCTTTGGACAGGTACAATGAGGCATAGAGCAGGAAAGCAATTTACACTGAGTCACTTACACTGAGTCAGTAAGCTGCAAACAGAGCTAGAAATTCTGATTCCCATTCTCCTGAACTATGCTACATTGATTTTACATCAAGCAGCAGTGATGGTAGCGGTAGTAGTGAAATTAATGAAAAAAAATAGTGAAGAAACCCTCTTCTTTGGTAGAAGTTTGGCATTTCTAGCTTCTGGCGTATGCAGACACTGAAAGTGAAAACACGTAGTCAAATATTTCTGATATGTAAACAAGGTTCACTCCATGATTGTAGAAAAGGGTGCACATTTCATGTATGCAATGATGAGGATTTTTATTTATACTGGGATCTTCCTTGTTTTCTAGAGAGAGGGCTTCAGTGTACTAAGAAGAGCTGAGCTTGCTGGTCTGACTACATTCTGCATCTCAAAATGATTATAATGATGACTTCATTCTAGGCACTTGAGGGGAACCTTTTGGCAGCACAGTAATTCCCCTGCTGTGATTATTTCATGTGTTTTTGTGATTGTGTGAAGACAAAGCACTATAAAAATGTTAGGCATAAGCCTGCATCTATTTCAGCCTATATAAAAAGAAAAATCAGATCTGTTACTAAAAGAGGAGAAATATGGAAAAGGTTATTTAGTCTTACAGTCTAACTGGGTAATTTTCTGTTTTTATTTAGAGGCTATAAAACAGCAGTTTGGGGGTGAGGTGGAGGCCACTGCATTGCTAATACATAGAAATCAATGTGTTTACTTGTAATGTCGAGTATCACTGAATATTCTGAAAGCATATGGCATATACAAGGACATTTTGGAGCTACATTGCAAGTGTTGTTGTACAGCAAGGTATTAGTAACAAAGACCGGGTTCTGTATAATTTCTATAAAATAACTAACATAGAGTCCTTACCTTGAGTCCTATTTACTCTTTAGATTCTGGAAAATTGAAATCTAAACACCCTGGTCACCGTTAATGGATTTTTTCTTCTCCTCTCAGAAGTACACACAGTCCTGGTAATAAAGAACACAACCAATTTTATTATGAAAAATCACACAAACTGATTCAACTTAAAAAACAACAAGAGTCTGGTTGCACTTTATAGACTAACAAAACATGTCTCCCCTATTTATTTTGGGTCTGTAGTTGCACATCCAAAACTTAAAACTCCAGTCATCTGAAGAAGTGGGTTGTGCCCATGAAAGCTCATGATACCATAGAATCATAGAATATTAGGACTGGAAGGGACCTCGAGAGGTCATTGAGTCCAGTCCCCTACCCTCATGGCAGGACCCAGTACTGTCTAGACCATCCCTGATAAACATTTATCTAACCTATTCTTAAATATCTCCAGAGACGGAGATTCCACAACCACCCTAGACTATTTATTCCAGTGTTTAACCACCCGAAAGTTAGGAACTTTTTCCTGATGTCAAACCTAAAACTCCCTTGTTGCTGTTTAAGCTCATTGCTTTTTGTTCTATCTTCAGAGGCCAGGAAGAAAAAGTTTTCTCCCTCCTCTTTGTGACACCTTTTTAGATATCTGAAAACTGCTATCATGTCCCCTCTCAGTTTTTTCTTTTCCAAACTAAACAAGCCCAATTCTTTCAGCCTTCCTTCATAGGTCATGTTCTCTAGACCTTTAATCATTCTTGTTGCTCTTCTATGAACCTTCTCAAATTTCTCCACATCTTCCTTAAAATGTGGCGCCCAGAACTGAACACAATACTACAACTGAGGCCTAATCAGCACAGAGTAGAGTAGAAGAATGACTTCTCATGTCTTGCTCACAACATACCTGTTAATGCATCCCAGAATCATGTTGGTTTTTTTTGCAACAGTGTCACACTGTTGACTCATATTTAGTTTGTGGTCCACTATAACCCCTAGATCCCTTTCTGCTGTACTCCTTCCTAGACAGTCGTTTCCCATTCTGTATGTATGAAACTGATTGTTCCTTCCTAGGTGGAGCACTTTGCATTTGTCCTTATTAAACTTCATCTTGTTCATCTCAGACCATTTCTCCAATTTGTCCAGATCATTATTATCCTATCCTCCAAAGCAGTTGCAACCCCTCCAAGCTTGGTATCATCTGCAAACTTAATAAGCATACTCTGTATGCCGATATCTAAATAATTGATGAAGATATTGAATCGAACCGGTCCCAAAACAAACCCCTGCGCAAGCCCATTTGTTACTCCTTTCCAGCAGGATTGTGAACCGTTAATAACTACTCGCTGGGAACTGTTATCCAGCCAGTTATGCACCCACCTTATAGTAGCCCCATCTAAGTTGCATTTGCCTATTTTATTGATAAGAATATAATGCGAGAACATATCAATGCCTTACTGAAGTCTAGGTATACCACGTCCACCGCTTCTCCCTTATCCACAAGACTTGTTATCTATCAAAGAAAGCTATCAGATTGGTTTGACATGATTTGTTCTTTACAAATCTATGCTGACTGTTCTTTATCACCATATTATTTTCCAAGTGTTTGCAGATGATTTCCTTTACTTGCTCCATTATCTTTCCTGGCACAGAAGTTATTTTCCTTTTTATAGATGGGCACTATATTTGCCCTTTTCCATTCTTCTGGAATCTCTCCTGTCTTCCATGATTTTCCAAAGATGATAGCTAAAGGCTCAGATACCTCCTCTATTAGCTCCTTAAGATGTTTTTGTGATTGTGTGAAGACAAAGCACTATAAAAAGGCTAGACATTTATGCCCAAATGGTTGATGGCCTTGCTTAGAAAGGCCACCATCCGAGCACATTAGATGAGGTGAGACATCCTTAACATCTACATATTTTGTTAGTCTATAAGGGTGTGTCTAGATTACAGGTTTTTTTTAAAAGTGGCCTTTTTTTGAAAAAAATATCCCTGCGTCTACACTACCGCCGCATTCTGTCGATGGCAGTAAACCTCGTTTTACAAGGAATACTGCTATTTTCAACAGAGTTCTGTTGAAAAAAATGTGTGTGTGGACGCATGGAAGAATGTATTTAAAAAATAAAGGCCTCCAGAAAGAAGCCCTGGTAGACACTCCAGCCAGAGCTTTCAACTCTGTTGTTCCTGCCTGTAGCCATCTTTAAAAGAAACAGGCACCCGAGTAGCATTGTGGCAGCAAGCCAGCTCCAAACAGGACCCTGACTGCTCAGCTCTTCCTGGTAGGGCCACTCAGAGCCATGTCCCAGGGAAAAGCCCCCCAAGATCCCTCTGGCCCCATCCAGGGACACATCCCCGCAGTAAGCCAGCGGCATCAAACGCTGGGCACCCTCCTGGTCTGGGCCTGACATCAAAGCCCTTTTGGAGCTCTGGTCTGAGGAAGAGTCTCTTCCGGCCCCACAGTCCAGGAGGAGGAACTCAGACATTTATGCCAGAATGGCTGATGGCCTTGCTAAGGAAATCCACCACCCCTGCACATTAGACCAGGTGAGAGCCAAGGTGAAGGAGCTGTGGCAGGGGTATGTTAGGGCCCATGAGTGCAGCTCCTGCTCTGGGGAAACAGCACACTATTGTGCCTATTATGAGGACCTGGGCCAGATCCTGGGGGCAAGGGAATCCCTGCCTCCTGAGAAGGTTGTGGAGTCTGGGTTGGAGATCCCTGTGCAGCAGTGGCCGCAACTTCAGGGTGAAACCCCAGAGGACCAGCAACTCCAAGAGATGGAGGACACCAGCAGGAGCACAGTGACCCTGACCCAGGAGCCAGACAACCAGATGCAGGAGGCCTCCCAGACAACTTTAGACACTGGGGAGGGAACATCATGCCAAACTAATCTGATAGCTTTCTTTGATAAGATAACGAGCCTTGTGGATAAGGGAGAAGCGGTGGATGTCATATACCTAGACTTTAGTAAGGCATTTGATACGGTCTCGCATGATATTCTTATTGATAAACTAGGCAAATATAACTTAGATAGGGCCACGATAAGGTGGGTGCATAATTGGCTGGATAACCGTAGTCAGAGAGTTGTTGTTAACGGTTCTAAATCCTGCTGGAAAGGGATAACAAGTGGAGTTCCTCAAGGGTCTGTTTTGGGACCCGTACTGTTCAATATCTTCATCAATGATGTAGATATTGGGATAGAGAGTACTCTTATTAAGTTTGCAGATGATACCAAACTGGGTGGGGTTGCAACTTCTTTGGAGGATAGGGACATAATTCAAAATGACCTTAGCAAGTTAGAGAAATGGTCGGAGGTAAACAGGATGAGGTTTAATAAGGAGAAATGCAGAGTGCTCCACTTAGGAAGGAACAATCAGTTCCATACATACAAGATGGGAAGCGACTGTCTAGGAAGGAGCATGGCGGAAAGGGATCTAGGGGTCATAGTGGACCACAAGTTGAATATGAGTCAACAGTGTGATGCTGTTGCCAAAAAAGCAAATATGATTCTAGGTTGTATCAACAGGTGTGTTGTAAGCAAAACTTGTGAAGTCATTCTGCCGCTCTACTCTGCACTAGTTAGGCCTCAGCTGGAGTACTGTGTCCAGTTCTGGGCGCCACATTTCAAGAAAGATGTGGAGAAATTGGAAAGGGTACAGAGAAGAGTGACAAGAATGATTAAAGGTCTAGAGAAGCCTATGAAGCCAGGCTTCATGAACTGGGCTTGTTTAGTTTGGAAAAAAGAAGATTAAGGGGGGACATGATAGTGGTTTTCAAATATCTAAAAGGGTGTCACAAGGAGGAAGGTGAAAATTTGTTCCTCTTGGTTTCTGAGGACAGGACATGGAGTAATGGGCTTAAAGTGCAGCAGGGGAGGTTTAGATTGGACATTAGGAAAAAATTCCTAACTGTCAGGGTGGTCAAATATTGGAATAAATTGCCAAGGGAGGTGGTGGAATCTCCCTCTCTGGAGATATTTAAGAACAGGTTAGATAGACATCTGTCAGGGATGGTGTAGACGGAGCTTTGTCCTGCCTTGAGGGCGGGAGGCTGGACTCGATGACTTCTCGAGATCTCTTCCAGTCCTATGATTCTATGATTCTATGAGTGCTGTGAGGGTCCAAGACACACAGGGCAGGGGAGGTGGGAGCAAAGTGGATGGTGTAGTGCTGTGACATGTCATGCTGATCACAGCCTGGGGGGGGTGGGGATGGGGGACACACATGGCCAACCTCAGGGAGGTTCCATCCTACCCCTGCACCCGCATGGCTGCGAGGCACCACCTGCTCCTGAAGACAGTGATGCCAGGTGCAGGCATGAGTTGGGGATGCTGGGATTGCCACACAGCTTCATGCCTTTAGCAACTTATGGGAACCCCAACTATGGCCTGACACTTGTCTGTGCTGCTTGGCCACGGTGTGGGTGTGGGGGAGGGGCAGGATGGTGGCCTGCATACCTTCTGAACAAAAGAGTTTTATAGTTATCGACACAATCAACGGTGAAATAAGCTGTAAACATTTTTTCAACAACACCTGTCTCTGTTCTCAGTGTGAATGCATACAAAATGTGTGAACGTGGGGCTGGGAGAGATTTTGGGGAGGAAGGTACTGGGGACGTGGGACAATCCCACATTTGGAAGGCCCTGGGGAAACTCATTGGCCTCCTTGGGAAAATTGCTCCCTCAGGTCTTCCTGAATGCTCAGTTCCAGCTGTTGGGCTTGCCAGATGACAGCTGTCCGGGGCTGGTCAAAGTGCCTCCCCTCCACATCAGCCTGTGTCCCCCATGCTGGGAGGAAGGCCTCCCCTTTCCTCTCCACAAGGTTGTGCAGCACACAGCATGCAGCAACCACATCAGGGATTTTGAGTTCCCCCACATCCAGCTGAGTGAGCAGACATCTAAATCTGCCCTTCAGACGTCGAAAGGTGCATTCCACCTGGAAGCGAGCCCGATTCAGGCGGGAGTTAAACAGTTCCCTACTCGCATCCAAGTGTCCCGTGAATGGCTTTATGAGCCAGGGCATAAGGGGATATGCCACGTTGGCCACAATGCACGTAGGCATCTGTACATTCTCGACTGCATAGTTTCGCTGCGGGAAGAATGTCCCAGCCTGCTGTACAGGTATGAGTTCCGGAATATGCGGGCATCGTGTGCCTGGCCTGACCACCCGACACAAATGTCTGTGAATTGTTCCCGGTGGTTGACCAGGGCCTGCAGCACCATCGAAAAGTAGCCCTTTCTGTTAATATACTGTGCTGCTCGATGGGGTGGTGCGTGGATCGGGATGTGAGACCCGTCAAGTGCTCCACCGTAGTTCAGAAAACTCAGCCCCACAAATCCGGCCAAGATGGTATCCAGGACTCCGAGGCAGATAGTCCTGTGAAGCTGTTCTGAGTTGATGGCCGTCACCACCTGCAGAAAGGGACAAATACAAACACACATAACAGGACATTAGAGGAGTTGTGTGCCCCCCGCACCATTCCCTGTGCCCGGTCCTGACCATCCCTCTTATCCACTCACCCCCACCCCATGGATTGTCCCCTGAGAGTGACTTACCTCCATCAAGACAGCCTCGACAGTAGACCTCCCCACACTAAACTGATGTCCCATGGAGCAGTAGCTTTCGGGGTGGCCAGGTTCCACAGAGCAATAGCGACGCACTTCTCCAGGGGGATGGTAGCCCGCAAGTGGGTGTCCTAGCATTGCAGGGCAGGAGCAAGCCAGGCACAGAGCTCCTGGAAGGTGGACTTCTGCATCCGGAAGTTTCAGAGCCACTGGTCGTCATCCCACTGCTCCATAACAAGCCAGTCCCACCAGTCTGAACTGGTGTCCAGCCTCCAAACTCGCCTCTCCAGGAATAAGTTTGGTGGCAAGGGCAGTGAGGCTGCAGCCCGAGTGAGGGGCTCAAAGCTGGGCTCTGAATCCAGCTCTGCCACAAACATCATGATGGTCTCATGAAGATGCAGCAAAACGTCCAGCATCACACTGTGGGGCCATTGCCTGCTCAGAGGCAGCTCAGGTTCCATGGCAAAAAACACTGTGAAATGCATAAAAACAAACCTGAAAGCAAACTGCTGTGGTGTCCGAGGAAGCAGGGCAACCAGAGCAAGAACTGCAGCAGCTTTGCTTTCCCTCTAGGAGGTAGGCAAGCCAGAAGCAGGAGCAGAGCAACGGCTATCCAGGGGGATCCCTTCAAGCATACATCTCTGCAAGAGCATGCAGCAGCACCTGGAAATAAAGGCTGCTCCCATGCCTTTCCAGAAGCACTTCTGAGTGCCTTCTTTTTTCAAAAGAGCGTCTGGCAGTCTGGATGCTCTTTTTTGAAAAAGTGGATCAATTTTTTGATCCACGTAATGCAATCTAGATGCTCTTTTTCGACAGAAGCTTTTTCAAAAGACACTTTCAAAAAAGCCTCTGTCGAAAAAGGCGTGTAGTCTAGACATACCCTAAGGTGCTATCAGACCACTTGTTTTTTAAGTTTATCCTGTAGAGACTAACTTGGCTACCCCCTGAAGCTTATAAACTGATTAGTCAGCTGCTTGGGACCCGGCTCCCATCTAAAACCTCACCCACAAGCCCAGTAAAATGTCTTCTCAGTAACATGGGTACAGGGGCTCCACTCAACTAGTGACCTCAGCTGTGTTCTTACTGCAGTTTCTGGACATTATGTCTATCCAATCTAACATTTCCTAATGAGGTTTTCGTTGATCCTCAGCTGTTATCTCCCATCCAGTTTTCTGCCACTACACCAGACAGTCATATCAGATACTATCAGCTCGAATCTGGTTCACTGATAAAACCTAAACTGCCATCTATCCTATAGACAGCTGCTCAATCTACCCCAATCCTCCCTCCATCCCACGAACTCCATTCAACCTCTGGACAGTATTATAAACCCACCTGTTCCCAAATTCACCTTTAGATTTCTACCTTTGGTCTCCCCTAGCCACTGAGCATTCACACCCCAAAATAACCAGATTGTTCTGAATTTCTCCTACTTCATAAACATTTGTCAACAAACACCTATCTGTCATACTTATCACACTGTGTGCAGCATATCTCTCAACTGCTAATAGAAGGACAGGTGGACTGTAAAATGAAGTTTATGAGCATATACACATTTTAAAATAAGAAAATTATTTAATAGAGAAATTTACATTCAATATCATCTCCAGAGGAGCAAAAAGTTTGGCAATTTTTTTCTCAATAAAACAAAAATAAACCTCAGAAAGGAAGCACTGTTCTCCCGCCCCAGTCTGTCTTCAGTTTGACTACAGTACTAGGACTTACTGACATCCAGGCAGTGGAGACGACAATCTCCACAAGCCCCTAAGCAGGTGGAGGAGGGAAGCAGCTCTATGCTCCCAAAAGGGGCAAGGCCAAGGACAGCCAGCCTTCAGCGTTTTTTAGAGTATGGCATTCCCTACCCCCAGCCCTTAGTACTAGTTGGAGCAAGCCACATGGTGCTCCAGAAGAGATTTAAAGGGCCCAGAGTTCCAGCCATTGCCACTGGGAGGCTTGAGACATGGGCCCCTTTGAATTGCTGGGCCCCCATACAACTGCCCTTTGCCTCCTCCCCCTCTGCCTGAGGGTCTGCATCCAGATTAGGATGGCCCACATTTTCCACTGACACCTGCAGACCCATTTATACATCTGCAATTACAGAGCACGTTTATGATTCAAAAATCTCATTTAAAGTATCTTGTGAGTATAGAATTGGGGTGGGGGGGCACTCTGGATGGTACAGCTTTGGGCAGTTTAGAGGAATTCCCAAAGTAGATACAAATCATAACTGCCAGAAGGTTGGAAGCCCTGTGATGTGGCATTCTGAAAATAAGCTTATGATATGAACATCATAACTGAGGTATGCTTTATGTAACATGGCTTGGGTGAAATATTCTTGGAAAGGTTATGATTTACAGAATATGACTATCCTATTTGTATGTATGAATCACTTTTGTTTCTGGAGTTAGGAACATGCACTGTAGATTTATATAAACCAATGTATACATGTTGTGAAGTCTTCTATCTGTAGCTACAGGAGCCCAAAAGAGACATGTGACCATTTTACCTAATACTGGATCCTATCTTGAATTCTGTACTTTTCCATGGAGAGGTGGGGAATCAAACAAAGGTTTCCCGCCTTATGAAGATTCTATAAAAGGTGAAGGAAGAAAATAGAAAATTAACTTTTCCACGTTACTTGAGCATTTTTTTAATTGAACCATTCCATTTATAAGCTTCTAGGGTAACAAACAGAAATAGAAGTTGGTACATTCATCCATCCCTCTTATCACCGATCAAAACTGGTAGTAGCCTGAAGTTCTAATAAATCTCAAGCATTTCGGACATCCAGAGAATCCATGTATTCATTTTAGACATTTGCTATTGCAGAAAAAGAAAGAAAAGTAACAGCTTCATAAAGAGAATAATCATTTTTGCTTTGTTCTCTAGCTAGGCGATGCACTAAGGCAAGGCAAAACCGCTTTTGTTTTCTATAATAGGTTAAGTGGTCTTTAATTTAATGAAACTGAAAACAGATAGCATTGAAAACCAGACAATTTTTATTAACCATGAGGTGGGGAGGAGGGAAAGTGTTCAAAGAGATTCTGAACTCCCTCCACATTGTAGTTGCTCCAACTGCTTCAGTTTAGAGATGACTGAGACTATGAGCCTCTCAAGTTATTTTTTGCTATGTCCCTTTGAATTTCAATGCACTAAAAATAGGAATTAATTGAAGCAACACCATGCATGTATTTTCTAGTCAAAGGGAAGGCAAGCTATATAATAGAGGGAACAGCTTTCCCGCATAAAAGCTTGCCGGCTACTGCATGCCATGACTTTAATCTTGGGCCCTATTGAAGTCAGATGCAGGCAAAACTCTAGGTCCCATCCAGCCTCTGTCTAGGTTCACTTTAAACTGAAGACATTCAGAGGGTGAAATCCTAGATACATTTAAGTCACTAGCAAAATTCCCATGACATCAAGGGAGACATTTCATTTTGTGTGCAAAAGCTGAACTGTATGGACCATATAGTTTTGACCATTGTGTCCTGTCCCTCAACTCCACATCTGTGAGGCCTGTAACTATATCATTCAATCTTAATGAAGCCCTAAATGCACCAACTGAAACAACAAGTCAAAATGAGGAAACCAAGCACCTTAAAATGATGTGGGATTGATTTCTTTAGAAGAAATAATATTTTCTATGTAATCAGGACTTTTTATCTGTGATATAATCCAATAAATAAAATTAATAATTTCCCAGGCTCTCCTAAGCCTTGTCGTCTCAGGATGTCTTTTCCTCTTCAGTGTAGTTGGGTGACTGGGCAGCCAGCCCTAATCCTTCAGTGTAGCAGGATTTCATATCTCCTCAACTCCTTTGGGCCTACTGACACAATGGCTTTGAAATCTTATTGCACTCAGGGATTTTTCCACAGCTTTACATCTCAAAATGTACTCTTAAATAATGAATGACTTCTCATGCTACACTACCATGGCCCACTGATTCTGAAGCCTCTTTTTTAGGGAAACCTTTCAGCTCTACTAAATTTTAAAACAGGAATAGATGTCCCAATAGGAGTAGTGGCTTCTTACTGTACCAGGGAAACAGACCACCAAGCTATCTTTGAAGATTATACAATGTTGAATGAGATGGTGTTTTCCCCACAAATTAAAGGGAGGGTGTTCAACTATACAGTGGACAGGGGCGACAGCTGATGAGGTTTGAGATTGTGAGGGTGAAGGTGTGCTGTATAGCATAATAGTAAAAACTGAAAAATGTTGACTACTCAAACCTACTATGAAGCACTGCAACTGCATCCTTCTTGTTATAATTTTGCACAACTCTTTTAATGAACTACTTGAATGTAGGACATTTATCTGCAGTGGTGTCTTATGAGTCCAGTAATTCCTATCCTTCCTAATGCTCTCATGATCAGGCAGAAGATGACTCCTTTCAGAATACAAAATTCTTTTCAATGAGGAAGAACAACATTCAACTGTAGCTGTTGTGACTAGGAGTCACAAGAGATTAATTCCTTCTTCCTTCATCAAAAGAACATAGCACAAAGAGTGGACTGCACCAGTAGAGGTGATAAAGAAGAAGCTGAAGTCATTCATTCATTCATTGAATGATGTTCCACTCTATTTTCAAATTTTCTGTTCTTCCTAATCACATAGCAGCCACATTGCTGGCAGTGCCTTACTCCACTCAAACTCTTGGGCTATGTCTTCACTGGCATGCTTTTCTGAAAATGCTTTTAACGGAAAAGTTTTCCATTAAAAGCATTTTTGGAAAAGCACATCTAGATTGGCTGGATGCTTTTCCGCAAAAGCACTTTTTACGGAAAGGCGTCCGTGGCCAATCTAGACGCGGTTTTCCGACAAAAAAGCCCCGATTGCCATTTTCGCGATCGGGGCTTTTTTGCGGAAAACAGTACTGTGCTCTCTACACTGGCCCTTTTGCGCAAAAGTCTTTCGGAAAAAGACTTTTGCCCGAATGGGAGCAGCATAGTATTTCTGGAAAAGCACTGACAATCTTACATGAGATCGTCAGTGCTTTTCCGGAAATTCAAGCGGCCAGTGTAGACAGCTTGCAAGTTTTTCCGGAAAAGCGGCTGATTTTCTGAAAAAACTTGCCAGTCTAGACACAGCCTTGGTGTATATAAGACAGACATTTATAAAATATACACAGAGGTTGAGTCTAATCTAGAAGTTTCTGCTGTAGATTTGTAAGAATCAAAGCTGTGTAATTTTTCAGATGGCTTAACAAATACTTTTTGCTCTTTTCACTTAAAGAATTAAGGTAAGTGCCTTAATCAGTCAACTTCTCAACTGAAATCTTTGCTTCTTTCTGCAACTTTTCAATAGGTGTCTCTCTGATTGACCCAAGGCCTCTATTGCTGGATAAAGATCTACTACTGCTGTAGCAAATGCCTGGATGGCACTGTTTAATGGTTTCAACAGTGACATAGAAGAGAGAGAATGATAATGTTCTCTGAACTTAGCAAAAGTAGCCCACTAGCCTCATTACGATCTGTCACATCTTGGTAGATACTTTCCAAAGCCAATAATTACGGTTGCTGTAAATTTAGACAACAGCCAAGATCACTCATGAGGAAGCTAGCAGGTTTTCCCAGGCAGGACTCATTTGAATGCAAGTTCCAGTATCTCTATATTTTCCAAGATGTTTAGACATTTTGGTGTCTTGCTGAAAAAAAAGGGCATAACAAAGACATTACAATTATGACTTTTTATTGTCTTTTCAATATTCTGTAGTTTGTACTAGTGCTAGATGTAGCAGAGAGTGTCTGCAATATATATAGGTGAGATTACAGTTATACTTTGCACTGAGCAATGCTTGTTATCTACTGTCTTCCAGAGAAGTTTGCAATTCCATCCAATGCCCAAGCAGCCATCTCTATGGGGTTTAATTCACAGGCATTTAACTCTGCTAAGAAGTGGGTTACTACAGATGCAGCTGATGCATCTTCTGAAACATGAATATCTAGCAAGGCATCTCCTGGCCTACCACGGACAGTAAAATAACATATGCAGTGACGTAATACTTAACACCCATTTGCACCTGTCCCTTCATTAGCCATGTATATATTTTCTGGTTGTGGTGAGAGAGTTCTTCAATTTTTCAACTGTTGTGTCTGTCACCACGTTTCTAACCAGTTAAGTGAGATTTTTGCAGAAAGGTAGTGAGCATTTACTGGCTGGTCTTGGTCAGAAGCAATGTTCAACATCAGGATTAACAAGTGACAATGCACTTAGCATTGGTCTCCAGTTTGTAAAGTGTGGTATCTCTTACTTAAGTAAGAAGCTTGATGTCACAGCCATGTTTGTTTGCATAAACTGTGTTGTCTTTACAACATTGTTAACCATCTCATTAAGTACTTCTAAAATAGGCTTTGACAGTGACTGAATATAAGGTTTTCTTCAGGTTAATGCAGTCCAGAGGTTTTTTGCAGCTTTTTCACATGGGTTGTCAGTATTGGTTGGATGATCAGTCTGGCAAATCAAGCTCTTCCATTTTTACTGTATAAATCCATGGTATGCCCATATCTTGAATACTGTATATAGTTCTGGTCACACTATCTCAAAAAGATACATTGTAGTTGGAAAAGGTGTGGAGAAGAGTATCTGAAATGATTAGGAGTATGGAACAGTTTCCATATGAGGGGAGACAAGACAGGAAATTTTCAGTTTGGAAATTAAACAACTAAGAATGGATATAAGAGAAATCCATAAAATCTTGACTGATGTGTAGAAAATGAATAAGGAAGTGTTATTTACTTCTCACACACTACAAGAATTGCGGGTCACCCAATGGAATTAATAGGAAGCAGGTTTAAAAACAAAACAAAACAAAAGGAAGTTTTTTTCACACATATGTAGGACTTTTTGCCAGGAGATGTTGTGAAGAACAAACCTATAACAGGGTTAAAAAAAAAGAACTAGATAATTCAATGGAGCTTACATCTATCGGTAGCTGTTAGCAGGATGGGCAAGGATCCAGCACCATGCTCTGAGTGTTCCTTGCCTCTGTTTGCCAGAAGATCAGAGTGGACAACAGGGAATGGATCACTTGATAATTGACCTGTTCTGTTCATTCCCTCTCAAACCCTAACACTGGTCTCTGTCAGTAATCAGGATACTGGGCTACATGGATATGACCCAGGATGGTTATTCTTATGTAAAAAGTTGTTATGATACAATAAAAATGTTTATTATAGAAACTCCCCAAGATAAAGATTTCATATAGCAACAATATGAAATAATAACTTTGGCAAATAATTAATTTTAAAAATCTTGACCTACTAGAAAATGTTTATATAAGTTTCCCAGTCACATGCTATATATGCTTTTAAAGTATATATTCATATTTTGATTTCAATTCAAATTTCCATCAAATGACTGAATTGACAACACTGAATATGACTAGTTGACCACTAGTGGTAGTAGTGGGATTGGAATATTGGGAAAATTCAGTGAAAATATAGAGAAATCCCTGGAACTAAAAGAGTGAGGTCAGAGGATACCCGGTCTCCTCCATCCCCACTACATACACAGAGCATTGCACTTTTTAGATGTGGTTAGATTTACCGATTCTAAAACCTTGAGAAA